TTATATTATATTGTAGATATGTTTATACTGTTTAATTTGTATTGTATTGCACCGACTACGCCAAAACAAATTCCTTGTATGTCCAAAAACGTACTTGGCAATAAAGCTTTTCTGATTCTGATTCTAAAGTATTTTTGAATTGAATTGAATTGGTATGTGTGACTTGCCTTCTTCGAACAAAAAATGTTGGAGTGGAGCTTTTGAATATGCTCAGATCTTCGCCAATCAGTCATTCTGCAGATCTTTTTGAATTTTCAGATGAGCGCCGCAACAATTTTATACCATCTCCAAAGCCATATTCAAGCAACTTTCAAGCTTTTTCCAAAGTAAATTCAGCTTTTCCTGCTTGTCACCATGGTAACAAATAGAATCGCAAGTTTTTATTGAAAATTACATCACTTCTTAGTAATGCTGCTTAATTTTAAATGACACAAATATACAAAACTTTGTATCAATGCAAATGTTGTTCTTTTATTAAAATTACATATTCAGTATCATCTTTGTAAGGGGGATATGGGACTTTTACCTGTGCTGTCGGTCACATTCTAGAGTCTTTTATGTCAACAGATTTAAAATATAGATCAAATGCAGCATATCTAATGAGGGGCAGCCAAGTTATCCAAAAAATATTTATTTTTATGTCTTAAAAGCAACCTTTTTAACAAAGTGGTTAAAAGGTTATTAAATGCCAAGATGCTAAAACTCACAAAAAGTAAGGAAAGAGTCAGAAAATGTGAGGTAATCCCCCATCATTGTTGTCATGGTAATATTCAGCATGGTATTGCAGTAACATGTTTCACGGAGACAACAGTAATCTGACAATATAAGGGTTGTATTCCATCCAGAAAAAGAAACTTCACCTAATCTTTCCAAAAATATTTGGCCAATATATTGGGCCTTTGATTCATGCACTCATTTAATCCGACGAGGCTGACGCCTTAATTTTAATGTACACAAAAAACTGAGGATTTCCATCCACACCTAAGGACAACTCAGAGAGACCAATTAACCTAACAGTAATGTTTTTGGATTGTGGGAGGAAGCCAGAGTACCTGGAGAGAACCCATGCATGCAAGGGCAGAACATACAAACTCCATGCAGAAATAACCCAGGCCAGGAGTCGAACCCAGGACCTTCTCACTACAAGGCAACAGTGCTACCAACTGCACCAGAGGGGGGTTTAGTGTTTATAAGTCCTATCAGCATTGTAGAGTGAGAAACAGCCATATGTTGCTCTGTTGAGGCATTCATGGCTTTAATTCTTTAAATGATCAATCAATGAGTTCGAGTGTTTGTCACAGTTTGTCACAAATGCCATTTTAGGGACTAATAGTCTTTGATTAAGGCAATCTTTTAGCCTTGGCTAAATTTACTAAATACTTTTAACTCTTAAAGAAAACACTTCATTCCTTTCTCATGCACCGCTGTCAACATGTTGCCCAGAGGTAGCAGCCCACAAAGAGGCTTCCAGTTTATCATGGGGCAAAAAAAGGGTTTCAGCTAGAAGCTATCATCAGCGTAAATCAAGAAGACAAGTGTGAGACCATAAAAGCAGCAGTGGAAAATCTAGAAGCAAGGCCTGATATCTGACATGGAACAATATATTTATATTGTCCTTACTCAAATACACAAAAGTACATTTCTTATTAAATATTATACCTTATAGTACAGAATGTAGGCAAATTGAGCAAACATATTTAAGAATTAGGAGTCAGATTTACATGAAATGGGGTGTAATCTCCTTTCAGCTCCTGTTTAAGCTTCCTGAATAACATCCAACAAGAAAGAATGTGAAAGGGTATATAAGAGAGGTTTATTGGCTCAAAGCGTGTGTCGCCTCTTTGGCATCGCTGTGCTGATTATAGTCCAGCGTGGTTGAGCGCGACGGCTGTATTTTCTACTTTCTGTTCTGGGATTCCTGACAGCGACAGATGGGTTCTGAGTATTCCTGCTGTTGGAATTTATTTGCGTGCAAATATAATTTAGTTTATCCTATATCCCTGTTCCAAATTTCAGCAAATTGCTTGTCAACTGAAATGTTGCTTTTCCTTTGCCACATAATCATTTCAACAGCTAACAAGCCATCCTGCTCTGAAGGAGATGGTGTGTATGCATAGTTGATGTAAGCAAGTTTCCAAGAAGAGCTTTATAAAGCTCAGGAATCTCCTCAACATTAATGATGCTTTGTTTTTCTCCTGCGGCATTATCTTTCCCTGCCATGCCGATAATGTATGGATATAAGGGGAAGGGAGCTAGGACTTTTGGAAGAAAAATTATGGCAAAATCTGTTTAGAGCAAAAGCCAAGTGAGAAGAAAAACAAAGAAAGCAAATTAGAGAGAGGCAAAAGTGAAAGTGAGACAAGGAAAGACATGTGGGAGAAAGAGAGACTGCCAGGATAGGAGGAGAAGGAGGAGGGGGCCGCCGTTAGCAGGGCTGTCAGGTGTTGTCAGGATGATGAATGGGAGGCCAGCCTGGGCTGTGAGGGCTCTGATGGGAGCTGCTGAGCTTTACATCACTCTCCTGAGTGTTTGTGAAAGGTTATTAAAGGCGCTTAAATCACAGTTGCTCCGACACCGAACTTCCCCAGACCCAAGCCGGTGAAGGCGTCTCCGGAGTCAAAAGCTCGCGAGCAGCAACAATGGAGGAAGGCTGCCACGCAGGTACGGATGCGTCCGGCCGCGGGTGACGAGGGGAAGACAGACGGATGGATTGTCTTTCTCAAAAGAATAATGTAGGGTAAATGAGTTCAGCAGCAGTCATCCATCATTGTGGTTCATTCATAGTTTGGGAATTAGGTTAAAGCCAGAAATATTACCAGCTCTATATTACAATTCAATGGCTGAAAATAAGAGCACACTATTATTTCAACAAGGGATCAACAAGGGACCATTCCTCTTTTTCAGAAAGGTGTCCACAGAAAACTTAGAAGACACCTGCTAAGCACTATAAGTCCACCCTTGCAGCTCACCACATCCAATTAATCTGCAGAGGGGTGTGAGGACAGGACAGACACAACAGCTTTCCTTGTTGTTTTGGTTCCTGCTAATAGAGTTGTGCTTGCAGCTTGGTCACACAGCGCAGCATCCAGCCTCCTGTTAGGTGCTCTCAGCTGGGATAAAAACAATCACTTCTCTCAGACTCCTGCAGTTCAGACGTGATCTCTTTACTTTGCTTTGGTAAATAATAACTCTGGAGTAAGACACAGAATAAGGTGAAACAGTCTTTTTACGAAGAGGGGTAGAGCCACTACAACCAAGAGAGTTGTTCTACAACCTTGTTCCTCTGAAAGCAATATTACTGCACTGTTAATATGGTTATTGATGTTTATTTGCACATTTACTGCGCTATAATAGATGTTTTATTGCACAAGTATTTTATTACTCTAATTGCATGACTAGGGCACTATTATTACACTGTAATTGTTCCATTAATCAACCGTTATTTCTGCATTATTACTATTTTCCTATAATAGTGCACTGTAATTATAGTGGTTATTTCTATTTTTTACACATTAAATATTTTTCAACAATCTGCTGTTTATTAGTGTTACTGCTATGTTTTAATAGACTCCTATTGCACTACATAAACTTTTTTCATGCTATTATTTCAGTTATCACAATGCATCAGCTTCTTTATTATTGGCATTTCAGGAGTTTCACCATTACTGCCATTATTCCACAATTAAATTGGACAACTTTTATTGCACCCTATGTGACTTTTAATACCATGGTATTACACATTAATGTGTCTTTATTATTCTTTTCTTCCTCAGTAGTTCTGCTGTTATTACACTCCAATTGCACAAACACCACATTGCCTTACCTTGTAATGATACATTACTCTGTAACTGCTCCCTTATGTTTATTATTCTATTATTGCACCAATCATTTCACTATTACTACAGTTGATTGCAGTCTTACTGCATTATTCATATACTGCAGTTGCTTTTTAATCACATTATTAAACTATCATCCACTGCAATTGCTATTTAACTGCTCTATTAATCCACAGTTATTCTGCAGTTGTTTTTTTTTATAGGTATTTCACTTTTATTACACTCTTGTTACTACTACAATAACTACAATTTTATGTCATACTTATAGCACAATTATTGCACTATTATTGTACAGTAATTTCCCTGATGTTATTGTTTAGTTGTGTTATTAAACTACTGTTGCATTATTAACATATAATCATTCTGGAACCAGTTCCCAGTTTCTATCCTGCTTTTAAGAACAGGGTTAAAACTTTCCTTTTTGATGAAGCTTATAGTTAGAGTGGCTTTGCTGAAGGAAAGACTGTCCACTTTTCTCTGACTCGTCTACCTGGCCACGTTCTCCTACTACTCTTCATGAACTTTATGTTCTCTCCTGTTTATTTTCTCAACATAGAGATACCCTCTGACATGGCATTTCTGTTCAGTTGAGACTTCTTCTTTGAGGTGGCCATCAAGTTGTGATTTGCTATAAATTACTTCATGTTCTGTTTCTGTAGATAATACGCTTGACCCTGTCTTTTTGTGTTTAAATCATTCTGTATCCTAGACACATTTGAAGGAGCAATTGCTGTGACTAAATATATCTACACTGTTTTTATGTCCATAGATTATAGTACTGGCTTAGAGCTGATCAGTTTAGATGTTTCTCTCCCAGAAGAGGCCACCAAAGAAGCTTCTGCTGCTATTAACTCCTTAACATAGAAAGTACTCCTTGGACTGGATTTACCCTGTTAGTATACTTTTTTTCATGTTTTTTAAAGCACTATACTATTTTTTTTTTATATTGTTACAGTATTATTGCATAGCTATTGCACTCTACTGTCACAACCATTTAAATTTGTCAAACAAATGAAAGGCATTTGTCATTTTAGGAAGAACAAATAGCATAAGAAATCTGAAAATACAACAAAAAAAACACATTTTCTTTTCTATATGCCACCCTGATCCCTTTCTGAGATAAGAGTGACAAGGCAAAGTAAAAAATATTCTACATTTTCTTAGGATTATTCACATTTCTGGCATTTTTGTAAGTAATCTTTTAGCTTAATAAAAACATCTCTTCTGGCTGGAAGTAATATTTATGTTTTAAAGTGGCCCAGTTAAGGTTAAAAGCTAGTCAGCAAGTTAAAGAATGGGTTGATTGGTTTAATACCAACAGAAGATATAATACTTTTTTAACTGAATATTTAAAAGTGTATAAATATTTTTTATTATTACTTTGAATACAAAATGGCAGCCCTTCAACACTGCGTTATGATCTTGTGGGAGGCTCTCATTTCCAGTCAGAGAGAAACAAACCCTCAGAATTTAATCTACCGGGCATGTGTATAATTTTGGGCTGAAATGTATAATTAATTGAAGAAATAGCAAAAATCAACATGGTTTTACAAAGAAAGCTAAAATGATGGAAAACAAGTAATTCCCAGAAATAAAAACTGGATATTTAAAAAAAATTACTTTTGAAAAAAGGGAATAAAGTTATTTTTTTCTCTAGGAAGTGAAATAAATGTTTCCCCAAGGAAACATATTTATTTTACAAAGTTAAATAAAGATCATTACATGAAGTGTATTAAGAAGTTGCATTCTTATTTTTCAAAATATTTAGCAATAAATCCATAATATCCTCAGAACCCCAAACATTTTAATATCTGGAACCTAACATGACCTGCATTAGATTTACTAAACATGAGCGCTGTTGAATAGTAACAGCAATGTCATTTAGTGGACTACTAAAAAGAATCATCTAGAGAATATTTATTTTTCAGAAATGTCCCCAGCATACCCAGATTTTTTTATTTGGGGAGGAAATCCAGAATCGTCCACTTGATCTGATCTCGGGTTAAATTTCACAAGGACGCTGGAGGTCAACGGCAGAAAGTCTGATGTTTTTTTCCATCTGCTTCTCATACACAATTGTTTTTTTTATTGAAGTTGTCTTGAGTCAGAGCTTTTTATGACAGGATATGGATTTCTGTGTCAGGGTTTGGTTTCGGGAGCAGCAGCAGTGTAGGTGAGCAAAGCCTTGGAGGCCATTTCATGCTCCCTGGTCCTCATTTGTCATTCAGCTACGTTAAATACTTGTAGGCAAATACCCACCGACACAAGAGGCCGAGGCAATCGAAAGCAATTAGAATGGCTTTTTTTTTTTTTTTTCCGTTTGAGGAAAATCAGCGAACAATTCC